GGCTATTTTAGTATATTGCATATACTGAACTGTTAATGTCTGTTAGTATTTATAAAGTATTACAGTACTATTACAGTGCAAAACAAATAAAAAAAAATCCAACCCCTAGGCGCTAGTGCAATTTAATTAAATGAAATATAATTTAACCGCAGGGCATTGTGTAAGCTAACCACGGGACATAGTATAACTTATTCCAGGGCGGTGGTATAAATTAAATTAAATCAAAAATTTAGTTTAACAAACGGGTAATTGAACGTGCCACTTGTGAACCACTAAACCTTAGATAATAAATACACAAATAAGTAGTCTCGATTTACATAAAAATAATATTAAAAAGAAATTAGTAAGGGTGAAATAAAATAATATCTTCCATGAGTGGGTATGCAACCAGGTGCATGTTGTGCGCAGTGTATGCGTTCCTTGAACATGTGTTAGAGGGGCATACATTTGGTTCACCCCAATAAATATGCCAAGTTGCATGATGTTGGGGATACCAGTTCAGGGGGGAAAACTGGTGGAGCAGGACGCATCCTCTATCCGCAGGGGGAGCAAGGAGGGGAGCCGGATAGAGGGTCAGGAGAGGCAGATCCTGGTGGTGGGAGATTCCATCATCAGGCGGACTGACAGGGTAATCTGTCATCGGAACCGTGAGCATCGAACAGTGTGCTGCCTACCGGGGGCCCGTGTTCGACACGTTGCAGAGCGAATTGACAGATTACTAGATGGGGTTGGGCACGACCCAGTTGTCATGGTGCACATCGGCACCAATGACAAAATAGGAGGAAACTGGAGTGTACTAAAAAAGGGAGTTCAGAGAATTAGGTGCTAGGATGAAGGAAAGGACCTCCACGGTAGTTTTCTCAGAGATACTACCGGTGCCACGAGCCACTCCGGACAGGCAGCGCGAGTTGAGGGAGCTTAACAAGTGGCTCTGGAGTTGGTGTTCAGAAGGAAGGATCTTGTTTCCTGGAGAACTGGGCTGACTTCACAATCGGCTACCGGCTCTACAGCCGAGACGGGCTGCACCTTAATGGGGGAGGTGCAGCATT